GCTCACAATCATTTGAAGCAGAGGGTCCCTTAAGGACACACGTTTCCACTTCCTATACAGACCCTGGTCTGCAGGCCCCAGAGTGGGGAAGAACTTACACAGAAATTCCCTAGAGAAAAGCAGGGATGGAGGAAGGGGAGGGCTTGTCAGCTTGTCCACTCAGAATGAAGAGACAAGAGGCACAGAGCTATCAATTACCAACTGAAAAGGAATACTGCTCCAAAACGAGGCTGCATATCCTCTGTGAAACTTTTTAAGCTTTGCAATTGCCCAGTGTTTGCTTATTTTTGCTATGCATGGTTTCCTTCCTGTGATTATACAAATTTGAAGATGTCTTAAAAATCAAAGACAGTAAAAGGCTGCCATCTCCCGTCAGAACTGCAAATGCACTGGAACGAGAAGTCCTTCCCGGCGCCATCTGGTGGCAGGCTTCACTCATAGTTTTCATGCCAGGGAAGTAAATCCATGCAAATACTGTAGTGGATCCTCATAGGCCAGCTACGGTGAGACATACAATGCATTATTGTTAACCAAGTCACGCTACTGTGCAATGCGGCGCTGGGACTCATTCCTCCCAATTGCAACTTTATCCTTGCTGACCAACCTCTTCTCATCACCTACCCATCCCTGCCCTCCCTGGACTCTGGTAACGGCCATGCTACTCCCTACTTTTAAGGTCAATGAAAAATGGTTTGGGTATAAGTGACAAGAAAAATTCACAAAATAGCAGTTAAGTTTCTGACTCTGTGAGAGATAACATACAAGTCACACACCTACACACGTGTGTGTTCACAAGAGTCCTACATGCAGATGACTGTCTCCGGCTCCATGTGCACTGTGCTACTTAATCCTAACACCTCTAGGTAGAGAGTGGCCAAGAGTTTAAAGGTTTAAGAGGTTAAGTAATTTACACAAAGTCACACAGCTAATGAATGATAAGGAGTCATGGACATGGAAAAATTAAAAGTGCATGGTAGTAGAGCTGGGCCTGATCATATGACGGTGTCAGGAGACCCTCCCATTTCCTGGGTCCTTTGTAAACAATCTTCTGATTAAACCTCTCCTTGGCAATCTGGTCAAACCATGACACCTCATCCTCAATCTTACCCCCACTAGGGTGAGCTTCCCATGAAGCTACTGCACCAGTCACACGTCTTTTCATTCACCTGCAGCAAAGTCCTCTCTTGGGGCCAAGCCAGAAGGTTCCTACATGTCCCTGCACATCTGGAAGGCTGGGCAGGGAGGTGGATGGCAGTGATACTGGTTGTAGTAACAATGCATTCTTGCTGGGACATATCCTGGGCCAGACACTGTCTCCACAATCAGGAGGCACTGCAATTCCTCCATTGAGTGGACAAGGACACTGAGGGCTGGGAGGTGAGGCAGTCTGCTCAGGACCACAAAGCTAGAAAGGCAAAGCTTTTATCTGAAGAATCCACACCCCTGACTCAGCTGGCATGCCTGTGATAAAGTGAAAATGGGAAGTGATGTGGAGGGGTACTGTCCCCAAACAGGCCCCTTCAGCCACTGGGCAACGCCTCCATGCCTTCCTTGAACCTGATGCAGAGGGAACAGGAAATGAGAGGCTGACTGATGTGGGGGACATGGAAGAGGGAGGAGACCATGGAGCAGACATCAATTTTCTTCTGGCTTAACTCATTTTGAATAGGAGCCAAGGGCCTGTGACTTGAGAAGTTATATCCCTGGAGATTTGGTGTGAATTCCAAGACATAGGAGCTAGGCCAGATTCGCTGAGCAGACAGCAAGAAACAGGGACCATGGCCTCTAGACCACACAAAATCCATTAAACCACATCCTCCATCAACGCCTGGGTGTGAACACCACACTCTGCAGGGCCTCTTCCTGATATGTGAAACTAAACAGGCAGATGAGCAGATGTGAGGAAATGAGCTGTATTTTCACCTCTGTTATGGGGGGTTCCACAGGTATAATCTGACTTATCAGAAGACCATATTAAAAACTAGTATTTAGAAATTAACCAGCTACTTGGGAGGCTAAGGCAGGAGTATCACTTAAGCCCAGGAGGTGGAGGTTGCAGTGAGCTGAGATCACTCCACTACATTCCAGCCTGGGCGACATAACGAGACTCTGTCTCAAAAAAAAACAACTAAAATTCAGATTTTTAAGGAGAAAAAAGCCTCTCTATTGAACTGAAAAAGTGCTCCAGATTTATCCCATTTTCCTTCCCACTGGGGGAAAGGAAGGACTCCGCTTTAGAATAACCTGGGTGTCACTGGCAGGGCAGAGAAAGAAGTGAAGGTGACGCAAGCTGGCCTGGGGCACAATTGGTGGAGCTGGACAATGGGCCAGAGATGGGTTACACTGTTTTCTCGGCTCTTAGATGGCTTAAATAATTTCACAAGATAATGTTTTCTTAAAATGTGAAGGCAAATTTCATTAATGAGTTATCAGTGTCTTTTTTCAGAGTAGAGGCCACACAGGCTCTCTAGGAGAAACCCCATTGACTTCACTTAAAACATGCTCAGTTCTCCAGATTACTCAGAGAAGGAGACTCTTGCACCCTCCTCTGACTGTGTGGCTCCTGTCCCAGGCACAGCTGCCATTAACAGAGGAGGGTCAACATTGCTAACGGTGTCGGTGCATCTGGGCTGAGCAGAAACAAGGAAGGGGAAGTTGTCCTCAGTATTCTATGTGGAAAGGATAGTCTTTGTGATTTTTACTTCTGAAAAACAGAAAAATAAAAAATTGAAACAAAGAGTGATTTTTTTTAAGAGAAACATTTTAAATGATATACACGTTTAACCTCCCCAGTGAAATTAGCTTCACTCAGTGGTCCATCTTCAAACAGAAAAGAATTATAATGAGAATGTTTAATTAATCTAAAATGTATATGATAAATACCTATTCAGGCACCAACCATCCAATCTGTATAGTTTTCCCTCTAGTTAAAAAGAAGGAGCCATATTTACATGGGGAACGTGGCCAGTCGGAGATTCCTGTCTAGGCTGAGGATGCTATTCATATTGTGCTGTGTTAATTCAAAATCAAACACCTGGAACCAAAATACAATGTTAATAGAAAACTTAATTCAATTCACATTTAATGGGGCACATGTTACCTACATAGCACTGTGCTAGACCAGCAGGGGACATGAAGATGTAAAAGAAACACTTCATCAGACCCTTGCAATTTCCCTGATTCACAGCCTGGATTTCCCAAATGCCTTTTGATTTAGATTTTGCCTGGTGCTGGCTTGGCTCTGGCTACATTTAGGAAGCCTTGGAAAGATGGAATATATACTGCACTCATCTTAGTGGAATAAAGAACATATGAGAATAGTTAAAAGGTAAAGCACAGAATTTTTTTCCACTGACCTGCTACCCTCAAAAAAATCCAACAAAACCATTTGTTCCATACACCTGCCAACTAGGGAGCCACTTGGCCCCGAGACTATGAATAGTACCCATATCACAGAGTGATCCTTTTTTCTTCCTTGAGAACAGTATTCTGGCCCGCCCCTCTTTCCCTTTTTATTGTTCCCACATACTGAGGAAGAGGACCCATGGCCACAGCATCAGCGTCTACCCCAGCCTGGCAGAGTGGCTGTGTCCCATGGGGAGGAAAGGTGTATTGAGTGATTCCCAATGTGAGGAGCTGGAGCACCCTAGCCTCTCTCCCACAAAAGCCTCCCACTTCTGAGGCCAGGAGAAAGTAGCCTCTGAGTGTCATCTGGAGGGAGTGGGGATTGCTGGGGCCGTGGTAGGGGGATGCTTGCATTTAAGGGTAACAGTGAGCAATTCTAGAAGAGACCCTACAAAGGGCAGGTGCCTTGCAGCAGCAGTTCTGCATGGCACTGGGGCGATAGGTTGGCCGGGCCAGCACCCTGCACTGGGTGCCTTGTGCCTGCACCCCTCTGTGCCTTTCTTCTCCTGGCCAGTCTTGTGGACCTGGCTCCCACCTCCTCCTGACAGCATGAGCACTGCCACGGCCCCTCCTAACCCGCTGCTGCTCTCTGTCCTCAGCCATCAGATCACTTCTGCTTTGGCCCTCTGGTCTCACATCATCCTGGTCCTGTCTCACTGCCTGGGGATGGCATTTGCCTTCAGTGTGCAGCAGACCTAACAGAGGAAGGGGGCATCTCAGCTGGGCCTGAGGTCCCCATGTCACATTCACTGCCCCTAGGCCATGGGGATCCCAGGCATTGAGAGCCACAAGGGTGGAACTGGGGCCATCCCCTGAGCCTATGTCCCAGGAGCAATCCTGGCTGCCCTGCAGGGCACAGATGTGGAGCAGATTAAGCAAGGCCCCCATGTGGAGCAGACGCCAGTCAGTCAGCAATGCTCAATTCTAACCACCGCACGAGACCTGCAGCCTCATTCCAAGAGGCCTGTCAGCAGCCATCACAGAGAACTGAGTTTACAGCTTAGCCAAATCCATATTCTTCAGGCTTTAGGTTGGCTGGTCACCCAGAGCTGCTATGGGCCATTCAGAGAGCAAGATGCCTGAGGAAGAAGAGGAGAAGTGTGTGTGGGCAGCAGGTGAGCTGGATGAGGGCCCGGAAGGGAGAGCGCTGTGGACACCATGAGGAGCCTGCCCATACTCAGGTCGTCCCATCATGGGTGGCCTGCCTCTCCTGCCAATGGCAGGGCTATGCCCACCTGCAGCCAGCCTGGCATGCACAGTGAGCCTGAGGGCACAGGCACTGCTATAGATCGGTCAGTCAAGAAATTTGATGGAAATGCTCACTTAGCACAACCAAATCGAGCCCCGAGGATGCAGCAGTGCCTTTTGGAACTCATGAGTAGCTCAGACACCAAGAGGGAGCTGACTCCTGAGCACCAGTGCATGTTGTCTATCAAAATGCAGCTGTGCGGCTGGTCCCAGGCTCACACACACCCATGCTGACATGACCAATGGGGGTGAGCTGCCCCCGATGCCTGTCACTGCCTGTGAGATCACCACAGGTGACATCCGGGACTGGGGGTGACTGGCAACTAAGAGCATCAGGTACTTCCTCATGCCAGGCACTATGCCACCCCTTCATTGTGTCATTACATTTCACCCTCACAGTGGTCTTATCAGAGAGGTTTTCTAATGAAGAAACAAGGCTCAGAGAGGTCAGACAACAGTTAAATGGTGAGTGGGCCTGTGGGAATCCCAAGTCCACGACTTTGACTGGGTTATAGACTATGTCATCAGGGTTGAAGCCACACATAACTCCAAAAATAGATTTCACATGCTTCTGTGGGTCTTGGCTAAGGTGAAAGGGTTGCCTGAAAAGGACCACTGCCTCTCTGTGTTCTGCACACACTCCACCTGTTCCAGTCTTCACTTTTGCCTCGGAAGTCACTAAACAGGAGTTGGGACCAGAATCTTCCCACACAACTCAAAGCAGTGCCCTCAGGCTACGCAGGCATGCTACCACGCAACGGAGGTGGAGACCTGTCCACTGACTGCCTCCCCTTTCTCCTGAGCACACACTTAGGAGACATCCAGCCACCTCTGTGGGCTGGCACAGCCATGTGACAGATGCACACGCCCAAGCCTGGTCCATAAAAATCTTCTCCATGAGATGCTCTTCCTGCCTTCCCAATCTTGGGCTGGATAGAGAAGATACCAAGACCCTAGGGGAGAGGGGGCCCTAAGATGGAAGGACCCTGGGTCCTTGGATTGCTGAGTGAACGGTCAACCAGCAACGCCCGCAGTGCAGAGGGAGAGGTCCCTGCTGTATCAAGGCACTGTGTTCCTGAGGCTGTATGCTACCGCAGTCATCTGAAACCCTCTAACATAAAAGAAGGAAAACACCTACCTGGATATTCTCTTTAATCCGACCTGGGGTGATAGATTTGGGGATCACTATTACATTCCTCTGGATTTGAAATCGGATCAAAATCTGCAAGGAAACAAAAAGTCTGCTATCACTCACAGGGAAATCCCATGTAGTCTAAGTTATTTTCTAACATTTTGAGTTTTACTGTGCAGTAAGAGTCTAAGAGTCAATGACAGCAGCAACAGTTACTGGCATTTAACCAGTTCTGATATGTTGGTAATGACAGCCAGCAGCCCAAGGAGGAGGCCAAAGAATTGGCCTTAATGAGAATTACTTAACATGCACCCAGTCCCCCACTGGACATTAGGACAAAGAAGACTAAAATAAATAGCTCTTCTGTTCCATCTCATACTAACCATGCGCAGTCGGGGGAGGGGGGGCACACGGAAAGGGCCTGGAAACTTCTCCTGAGTCTAGACAGGCTCCGAGGCAAGGGTACATGGCATGAGGAACTGGGAATGCGACTGCAGATCAACTTCTGCTCAATGCTGGGAGGTTCTGATGAGTCATGGACTCATCTGGGTGAGCAAGTCCCTTCCTGGGACCTGCCAAACCCCAGGACTCCCCAAGGATGTGGAGTGGTCAGAGGACCCCCGGCTCAGAAGAGCCCTCACTGAGTACCTGAGCGGGAGACTTGTTGTGCTCCTTGGCAATCCTCTGGATCACAGGGTCGTCCATCAGGTCAACTCCCTCACTAAAGAGACAGCACAAGGCAGTGAGCCAGAAGATCTAACGTGGATGCCCCTTTCTTTAGAAAGGAGAAATCTTTCTCGAAAATGAAGGATTAATTTTCTGATCATGACACAAGCTGACTGTAGGAAATTTTAAAACAGAAAAAAGCACGTCACTCCAAATTTCCAGTCTGGAGATGACCACTGCTAACACGTTGGTGAACACAGCTACATGACACATCACTTTTCATGTGTATTTTGTGCTTTTCCTCAAGAACCTGGTGGCCACGTCAGTGCACGAGCCAGTGAGCTCCCGTTTTAACTCCCCCACGACTCTCAAGGGTCTCTGGCTTCTCAGCTTCCACTGTAAGCCCTAGCACAGCACCAGGAATCGCTATTTGTTGATGATAATAATTTCAGAAAAATTCACCCAAAATACCACTAAAAAGTGAATATTGTGAACACGTGGAACCTTTACTACAAGTGATTTTGAAGGTGATCATAGAGTCTCTGCATCCTTTATTCAGGCACGGGTGGTCCCTGGGAACTCCGAGGATTCACTGCTTTAACAAGCACGTACTGAGCCATCACCCTGTGTCAGGCATTGTGCTAGTACTAGTCCCCAAGGTCTCCTAAAGGAAGCAAACAGAGTGCACAGCTTCCTGCCCCAGTCAGTCTTTGAGAGCTCCCTGACTCACTCCATCGGAGGATCCTCTACCCCAAAGCTCAGCTGTGGAATGGACCCAGCCTTCTAGGGACTCTCCAGCTGGTGCCACGTTCAAACACACACGCACCACTTCACAAGGAAAACACACAAGTGGTAAAACTCAAGTAATTTCAGCCTTTTTGGCATTCCCAATATGTCCCAGGTGCTGAGCTAGGAGCTGGGAAAAGAAGAATAAGTAAGATACTTCCACTCAGGTTGTTTTGACTAGTGGAAGAGACTGTGAAGAAAATCACAAGACAGTGTGACAAAGGGTATTTAAGAAACATAAATAAGGGGTCAGGAGGGCTTCCTGGAGGAGGTGATGCTGAACTGAACCTTAAATTAGAAACTGGAGTTTGCCAGATTAAAAAAAATTGTGGATAAAGAGAACAGTATCTGCAAAGGCACAGAGGTGAGAAAACATGTTTTATCTGAGGAACCATAGCAGCTTCATGTGGGTGAAGCCCAGGATGTTTACAGGGATGGGTAAGAATGAGGCCAGAAGCAGGCAGTAGTCAGGCTGGCTGTGTCTCACAGGCCACGCCAAAACCTGAAGAATTGTTCCCAGGAAAGTGACATGATCATAAGGAGACAGCTCCTTTCAGCCCCGCTGGGAGCAATGGATTAGAATGGAGTGGGCCAGGGAGGGAGCTGAGGGGCTCCTCTAATGACCTCAGGAATTGTACTTAATTAAGGCAGTGACAGAAATGGAAGAAATAAAATCACGGAACAAAGTCCAACTTTTCCTGGCAGAATAATCACTAGACTTTGGTGCTGGATTGGATTAGGGATGTGGGAAGCGATGATTTCCAAGCTTCTGGCTTAGGTGGCTGAATGGCTGGAGGATCCTTAGCTGATCTAGAGAGCACAGGACAGTTGCAGGGCCTGGGTAAAGATACCAGCAGTCTTTGCCTCATCCAACCACTGAGAGGCCTGAGGAGCATCCTTGTCAAGATGTCAGATGACTGATGCCCTAATGGAGAACTCAGCAAAGGGGTTGCTCCAGGCTGGTTTATGTCTCTGAAGAGGTCCTGCCCCTCTCAGGGCAGCCCACTTACAGCCACTCCCCACCTTCCAGTAATAAGCCCTGCTTTCACTCCGAGGTTTGAGAGGTGTGGACAGCCCTCTATGGCCCCATCCCTCCACACCCTGTCAAAACCTCCATTAAGGCCTCCCCAAATCATCCCAAGGAAATGAGAAGATGGCATCTACTTCCTGCTCAGCCTCTGACTAACATGTCACTGATGTATCCTTACCTTGAGCCACCAAGAGGACGGTAAGCAGTCACGGACACACCTCTGGATTGACAAAAACTGATCAGATTCTTCTGATTAAGATATGGGTGGCACTCAATCTACAACAGAATCACAGCTTACATAAAATTCAGACCACTAGTGTCCTAGAGAAGCTCTACAGCAGAAGACCTCCGCTGAAGTCTTGGCTGTCACTGAGTACCATGGGGCCTATCTCCAGGCCTGAGGGTTTCTGTTGTGAGAAGCCTGGACAGAGGAGTCTCCAAGTGGCCAGCTGCTGTCATGGTTTCTGAGTCTGTGGCCTCAGGGACACCTAAGTCACCTGAATGCTCCAATACCGCCTGCTCTGCAGGGCCTTCCCCGAGCACTCAGGAAAAGAGTGTAATGCTCCATAGCTCCCATCTCCCCACAGCCTTATTTTCCTCCACAGTACCTATCACTAACTGACAGCCCATAGATTTTACATACTTGCTTATTGTCTTTCTGTTTTCACCAGGATCTAAGCCTCATGAACACAGAGATTTTGTTTGAATTTTTTTCTTTATGGATGTCTTGCCAACACTAAGAACAACTTATACACATAGAAAGTAATAAAAATATATCCACTGCATGAATGAATTAAACGAAAAAACTGCATATGAGAAATACATGCTACAGGTGACTTGGATGAATATTTTAAGAAGCCAGAAGCAGGATCACTGTCTCTTGCACATTCTCCAAACTCTCATATATAATTCCAGGTTATAAGAAGATTTAAAATACCTATTTAGTGTAATTTACAGAGAACTATAAATAGTGCTTTAACTCTCAGGAATATGCGAAGCTCATCAAGATCAGCCTCTCTGGGAAGCCTCCAAAAGAGAGGCCAGCTTCTGGCACCTTCTGAATCCTGTGTTCCTGGGTATCCATCCTCCCATCAAAAAGCAGACCCTCTACCCGTCCAACCCACCTTGTCTACTCGGACTGTGCCATAACCATTCCCAGGTATTTAAATTGCTGAACAACTAAAAATACTGACACAAAACAGAAGCTACTATGCATACACACATATATAAAAACTTAATGCATATAAGGTTGTATACAAGGCAAAGCTGAACTGTATTAGCTGGGCCAGAAGCCAGGTTGCTCTTCATGGCAGCGACTACAACAGGACCTAGAGGTGCTACTGAATGGCTGAGGGTTTTTTCCTTGTTTTGTGTACTGAATACTCGAGTTTGTTCACTTGCAAAAATTCATCAAGCTATGTATGCCTTTTATGATTCACACACTTTTCTGCATCTATGCTATACAGAACTGTTTAAAAAAGCATATTTATTGAAAAAAAATAGAGAGTGATGCTCTATTCTTAACAGTTCCAAACTGGAAACTGTCCAAATGCCAACTAACACACTAACAGCAGAATGGATAACTCAATTGTGGTCAATTCACACAACAGAATACCACAATAAATAGGAGAGCACCATCTACAATCACATGCACAGAAACAGTGCTGTGTGAAAGAGGCGAGCACAGAAGGGTTTATGACGCATTATTATTTTATCTGTGTAAAGTTCAGAAGCGAATCCTGGCTGCTGGGAATGAGAACGATGCTGTGCTCTGAGGGCAGGAGTTGCAGGGGTGCTAGGTGTGCTGTTCACCAAGCTAGATGCTGGTCCTAGAGCTATGCTCAGTTTATGAGAATTTACTCAGCTCCATTTTTACATGTGTACTTCTACTCTTCAATAAAAAGCTTAAGGACTGTATAAATGATCTTTATATAGTTTGTATCATTTATACTTATACATATAAATGATACAAAGCCAGTCTAGAAAATTCAATAGTTCTTTCCCCACAAGTCTTTTCTCTACATCAAAAACCTGCATCAGCTTCAGTAGCCTATAAGCCTGGCGTGAGGGCATCTGGTCATCCATGCTTTCTTACTGCAGTTTGCAGGCTAGGAAGAGGTGGAGGGGAGACCCATGTTCCCTAATGAGGGCGACGCACCTGCCAGGACCCTGACTACTTCTGAGCACACCTGGTGTAGTCTGCACTGCACATGGAGGGCCAAGTGCCAGCTCACACCCTGCCTGCTAACAGAACCACCTACCCAGTTGCACCTTCAAGAACGCCACTTGGCTAGCTGCTGCCTTTAGTCACCATTCTGACTGCTGTCAGAGAAGAAGATGCCTGATTTGTGCTTCACCCCATCCTCCCATTTCCAGGAGCCCTGTGGAGGTAGCAGCTGGGAAGCCAGCCACATAGGTTAAACTCTCTGATGCTTCCACTGGTTTACCTGGTTGGTTACTGGTTTGAACCTCAACTCAGGCTTATTCAGAAGCCTCTCAAGCTGCTCATGGTTGAAGTTTGACACCCCGATGTTCTTCACCAGTCCACTGCTCACCAGGTCCTCCATGGCCTGTAAGAGAACAACAACTCTGCTGAGGGTGAAGGTTCTGTCTATCGAACTGACAATCTATGTCCCTCAGCAGTTCAGTACGCTATTCTACAACTGGTTCCACCCAATATTTTTACAATATTTTACCTCAAGCTTCAGAAGCATTTCTGCACTCAAGGTATGATCCCAGTCCCATCTTTCCTGGCTAGGGGATGCTGGGAAAGTTGCATGGCCTCATTTGGCCCCAGTTTCCTCAGCTTCAGAATAGGGCAACCCTGCCTGTGCCACAGGGCTATTTAGGAGTTACGTGGAATCACAGAAAACATTAGCTAAGACTGGCGTCCACCACTCAACACATGTGAGCTCTTCCTGTTCTTATTCCTCTTGACGCCTGGCAAGCACATCTGTGGATTTTATTTGTTCACTTTTCTTTCCACTGAGACTCTGATCTTAAGCACACGGATGCAACATCATTCTCCTAACCCACCCTCTGTACTTACCATTTTAAGGAACTTGAGGGCAGAGTAACCCAAAGCTCTGAGCTAGTCATTGACCAGCAAGCCAGGCTGCCCCTGAGCTTCAGGAAGAGCATGGCTTTGTGCCAGGGTCCAGGGTCAGCAGCAAGTCCTGAGTGACCAATGAGCCAACATGCAGCAGTGAGTTACTGCCTCAGCTGCAACAATCACCGGCCCCTCACTGGTGCTACATGAACCCTAGAGTTTAACCCAAATCTTTCAGGAGATAAAACAGTGTAACAGAAAGGGTTGATGCCCATGGGCCCTGGGACTGACATCTCAGATCCCTTAGTTAGTCTTTGTCTTATGCTGATGGGGGTCCTAGCCTGGGACTCCTCTGTGTTCAAGGGCTCCCTTCTGGCCTCCTCCCTGGAGAGCTTCACCCAGCAAGCTCTGTCCTAACCTCAGCAAACTTAAGCTTGAACTCACTTTCTTCTTGGGCCTCAAATGTGATGTCACATCCTACATGCTGGTTACCAAAACCGTATGACCACACATGCTCAGTCAGCCATGCTGGAGCCAAAGCCTAAGCCTCACATCAGCCTGTGGGTCTACTACCAGGAGCCTCTCAAATCCACCACATCCTTAATTCCCTGCTGAAGACTTTACTGCAAGCCCTTGCAATAAAGGGCCGTTTTTGGTCTGAACCCTAGAAATGGGCTGACCTTGGTAACCACCCCCACATTGGTCTTACCTCCCCAGCCTAAGCTTCCATGCTGCCAACTTTATCACTCTGAAATGCTTAAGAGAGAATAAAAAGGAACTGTAAAACATTAACAGTGGTACCACTGGGTGACGGGAAAATAAATTTTTTAATGTTAGTTTAATACAGAAGAACTCTCCTGTGCTTTCTGAAATAAATGTGGTTAATTAAAAAAATATTTGAGAAAAAGCAAAGTGAGGTCTGTAATGAGCTATCCCTCAAATAAAGTGGCACGAGAGCTGCACCACACCAAACCAAGGGTAATGAGAAAGTCACTGAGGTGTCTGAGTTCTTCAGGTACTGATTCCTCATTAGTACTGCAAACCCCACATCTCAGGTAGATACCCTCGATGTCTTTGAACACAAGCAGCTCACTGCATTCTGGATGAAGACCCACACAAGATGAGGCTGCCTTGTGGTGTGGCTCAGCTTACCTCCCACGTGTCCAGGAAGTCTGTATCACTGGGGATGACCATGTTGGTACAGTCCACAGGCAAGTCGTATACTCCAGGATGTGAGAAGCAGAAGGAAAGGAGCTTACTGGGAATCATGATCCAGGCTGGATGAGGAGGCTACAAAGAAGGAGAGTTGAGATGTATGAAAAGAAATACTGCATGTGTCAGGAGACCTGCATCCGAGCCATGGCCCTGTCACTAAGCAATCCCAGCCTGGCCATGTGACCAGGCCCACTCTTCACCTTTCTAGGAAAAGACCAAGGGCTCATGAACTGGGTGGCTGGCAAAACCTCCACCAGCCTGATGTTCCCTGTTCATCTCTCACAAGATGGGAAAGGAAGACCCTGCATCCTCACTGATGCAAGGTCATCCTCTTCCATCACCTCCAGAAAACAGTTTACTAATTTCAGGTAAAGAATGGGTGCAGAGTGCATTTTCTTCATGTCTTACAGAGCCCAAGCAGCCCTCTCCTAACTCTGCTGGTAGGGTCTTGTCTTCTTTTCTTAGAATCTCCATCATCATGAGAGGTAAGGAAGTGAGAATACAAAGGTGCACAGGAGGTGGAGGGCAGAGAGACACCTTGAAAGGGCGAGACCCTCTAGTCACCTTTGAGAGAAGCTATGGGCACCGATATGCAATCCAGCTACCTCCCTCACCCATCCCTACGTAGGGTGTTAAGGGTGAATGGCACAGGCATCTTTATTTACTGACACCTAATCATATTCCTAAGCAACAGTGGAAGAATGTCACATGTTCCAGCCTAATCCACATGAAAGAGGCATTTTCTATGATGAGCTGAAGTAACTAACAGTCTCACTCTAAAACCATATCCCATGTTGACATTTAACTGAGGGTCCACAAAAATGCTGCGGAGGCCTCATACTCGGACCCTGATCTAATCGTTCAGCATCACACCAGGCCTCGCAGTTCCCACTGGCCAGAAGATATGCTGATGATGCTGCATTACCCTTTTCTGTAATTTGTTGTGTGATCTGAGACCTTCTCCTTTTCTCCCATCCAGAAATCCAAAGATAGGGATCTGCTAAAGGGTGAGGGTAGCAAAGTGTAAGAAATGTCTGACCTGAGCATATGCTTCTGGGCTCCAATAATCTAACTTCAACCTGAAACTTTCTGTGTCTCAGTTTCACCATCTGTCCAAGAGGGATGTCAGCAGCGTCAACTCTGTAGAGCAGTCATGAGAATTAAAGGAGCTGCTCTGTGTGAAGCACCTGAGACAGTGCTGGGTACATAATGAAAACAATGCTGGCTGGCAATGAGTACAGTAGAGCTACAGTCACTGTTTTAATTATGACTTTCTGCATGCGATGAATTTCAAAGACATGGATATCATTCTGAATCACCCCTCTGGTTTTGCCCTCTGGTTATCTTCCACTCTCGGTCAGTGTGACTAATGGATAGCTGCCCATATCATTTATGGAAACTAGATACAAAGCCTTAGTTAAGCAAAACTGTGCTAGGAATGAAGTGGTTTTTATTTCACTCTAAACCAGTAACTAACAGTGTGGCACACGTAAAGGGACCCTCTCACGGGCAGCCATGCGGAATACCCTGAGCAGCAGCCACCCACTCCAGTGTAGGGAGAACATCCCTACAAGGGCTTCTGTGTCTCACAGGTGTTACCCAGGCAGGCTGTCATCATGGCCCAGGGCAAATGTGCAGGGACATCCTGGCCAGGACCTGTGTGAGAAGCAGGTTGCCTGGAGTAGGGAAGCTGCATGGCCAGACTGGGGTAGCTGAGTGACAAAGCCATGGCTCAGATGCACGTTACAGACACACCGTGAAGCAATTAAGAGAATAAAACCAAGTGGAAAAGTCAACTTCCACCACAACCCACTGGACCCTGCTGCAGGTGAGTAAGCACATAACGCCCATATTGTAAAACAGCATTCACTCCCCAAAGAGGACAGAACGTGCAAGCAGAGACAAGGCCTAGGACTTCACTGGAAACTTTGTCTGAAGAGAAAAAACCTGTTGCTCTGTTGGCCTGGAGGAAAAGTGACTGGCTTGAAAGACAGAACTGTGGGGGCCTCAGAGATCTTCCAAGCCAAGCCTCTCCTTAACTAAGACCCCCAGACATCAAGAGGCCTGACCAAAGGCTGCAGCTAGCATGTGGCAGATGGCCCTGACTCCTCACTGCAAGACAGGGTATGACCACGGGAGGCAAGTCCTGCAAACCCGGGAACGAACCACCTACTGACAGTACCTTGAAACCCATGGGCCAATGCATGAGGTAGAGGTCCAGATATTTCAGCTTCAAGGCTTTCAGACTCCTGCAGCATGCTGTTCTCACCAAGGGCTTTGTGTGCCAGGTGCACCACAGCTACAAAGGAGAGGGGACCAGCGTCACACACGCCCACCCAGAACCAGCACGGCACCCATTCTCTAGCCCCACGAAGCTACGGTATTGGACCAAAAATAGCCAAGATGAGATGACCACAAATACAACACGGCAGGTTCTAACAGAAGGACAGGGTCATTATCCTCAGAAGAGTTCCAGGACACCTGCAGGGAGAGGCTCCAAAGCTGGGCTTCTTCAGCCCGACTCCTCTTCAAGGAAGCTCAGGACATCAAGAGATATTTGATGGTTATTTGGATCCATTGGGACCAAAAAAAAAAAAAAGAAAGAAAGAAAATGAAATTCCTTCAAGCAGAAAATACATGACAAAAAAATCAGAAAAATCTCTACCTTGTTTTTCTCACTTACACATACTCCATATTAAGGGTTCTCTGTTCGTAAGGCATTGTAACGGTGCAGGCTAACCCAGGTGAGTTCGCTCACACTGCCTTACTTCTTTTAGCTGTTTTCCCCCACATTCCCTTTTAGTAGAAAAACTTGTGTTTTTCCCCTCCTATTTCCTTCACTATACTTTTTTGACTGTGATGTAAGCTAACCTGAAGGCTCCATCACAGCAACGGAAAAACAAAAATGATGTTAAATGAAAGTAAAAGAAAGGGGAGTAAAATAAACGAAAGCAAACGAGCACAGTATATTAACAAAAAGTACAAAATAAACAACAGAAGTAAATGCATTCCATTGTTAATCACAGTTGTGTATATGTATGATTTATTTATTTGATTATATTTCTATGACTTTTTCAAATGTCCAAAATAATGAATATATTTCCACTGCTGACTACGATCCACACAGAAGCAACTTGCTCCAAATTGCAGGGCAAGCCTTAGAAATCTCCAGTTACTCACATCCCTACCTGGACTATTCTCCCCAGTTGGGCAAGCACACACAAAGGCTTCTCTCTTACCACTCTCTGCTCTAGCACAGATAGGAATGGTAACTGATGAACATTTACTTCCATGAAGTAAAACAGAAGGCAATTCAACTATAGAAATAACATTGAGCCTTGAGGTATGAAATTTTAACTGGGAAGTTACTCAGGAAATTCTCAAATCCAGAGTCTCATTTTACAAATAATGAAGCTGTGAGCCTGAGCCATCCAATCCCTAATACCCACAGCTCCTGACATGGCACAGCTGGACTTCCATGGCCTACCCCATCCACCACTCAGCCTCACTTCTCGTTACTCCTGCAGCCTGACATCCTGTGGTCCTGGAAGACCAAGTGATTTGGTTAGGCTGTGTCCCCAGACAAATCTCATCTTGAATTGTAGCTTCCATAATCCCTACATGTCATGGGAGGGACCCAATGGGAGGTAACTGAATCATGGGAGCAGGTTTTTCTGGTGCTGTTCTGGTGACAATGAACAAGTCTCATGAGACCTGATGGTTTTATAAAGGGCAGTTCGCCTACGCATGCTCTCTTGTGTGCCACCATGTAAGATGTGCCTTTGTTCCTCCTTTGCCTTCTGCCATGATTGAGGCCTCCCTAGCCTCGTGAAGCTGAGTCCATTAAACCTCTTTATCTTTATAAACTACCCACTCTCAGGTAAGTCCCATAGCAGCATGAGAATGGGCTAATACACCAAGCTTCTTACGAACCCCTGCACCTGTCATGCTGCTTCATGTCTTATGCCTGTGCTCAAGCTGCTTCTTCCATCTGTAATGCCATCTGCACTGCACCCAGAGTTTCTCATTCCACAGAAAAGGGCTAGAATTTGGAATCTGCATTTAACAATCACCCCAGTAATTCTGAGTTTAGGAATCACTGTGTAGACAGAGTTCGTGAAGGCTACGTCTTTGTCACTCAATCAGTTTGAAGAATATATTGTTAATTGGGGCTTATTGGTGCACTCCCACCTGAATGGCCAAGTAAATAATATGAAACAAACCTGTACACAATATAATTCAGCATGCTCATGAAGCTGTGAATATTCTTGTTTATTCTGATTTGAGTGTGAACAGTCATCAGCTCCCATAAGGAAAGTAGAAAGCCCTTCAGAGATGTAGCAATACTCAAGCTCTGTTGGCTTTGCACAGAGCAATCCTACCTTACTGGCAATGAACAGATCCTCCCGTCTCACGACACCTTCCTGGATCTTGTAACGGATCCCTGCTCCAACCTCATGCTCGTTGTGATATAAGTAAGCACAGTCGAAGTGCCGGTAGCCTGCGTCAATGGCCACCTTCACTGCCTCTGTCACTTTCCCCGGAGCGGCCTGCAAAACCAACAAAACAAAGTGTCTTCCCACAGTCAGAAGAATGCAACACAATTCTCCATTTCACCCAAGCATGAGGAGTAAATAACACATAAAAAATTAAGCCACTGATTTGGTACTAATATAATCAGTCTAAAACCAGATAATGTCAGAGTCACAAAGGAATTTATAAATAAGTTCCAACTCCTTTACGTATTTTGGGGAAAAAACTACAGGTTATTTTTAGTGTCTTCAGAAGACTGAGCTAGATGGTGTGTTTCCTGAATGATCAAAGCAATAAAAAAAGTGTAGAATGAATAATAATAACTGAGATGCAAAGAGGTTCAAGACTCATCCTATACCCTCAGAGACCACAGTGTCCAGTAATAAAGGGGATGAGGTGTAGACTCACATGAAGGTATCATCACAAAAAGCATATAACAAAACCCAAATGAATGTATGATGCTATGAGCAATAAGGCAGTTCAGAAAGAGAACAGTCACTCTAAATGCAGCTAAGGCAAGGGAAGAGACTAGAACTAGGAAAGACTATGGGGCTGTGGCTTTGCAATCTCATTAATCTCGAGACTGACAAGGGCTTCATAGTTCACAAAACACTTGCTAACTGGAGCTTCACAGCAACCCTAAGAGTTAGAGCAGCATCATGATCTTCATTTTATAGGCAACAGATTCAGAGTGGTTGAAAGCAAATGAACCAAGTATCCTTCTTAAGTTAGAAAAAGTACCCAAGAAATTGAATGGAAAGGTTAAAAATATGATTAAGAATAACATCAATAAAATAGAAAACAAAGATGTAACAGAGAAGATTAACAAAGTCAGAAGTTGGTTTTTTTGAAAAACTTCAGTAAAATAAACAGACTTCTGGCTAGGTTGATGAAGAAACAGATTTTTTTTTTTTTTAAACTGACATGAATGAAAAGTAAAACATGAAGATAAAATAGACTTAAAAGAAAATATTACCAATAACTATATGTCAATAATTTGGAAAAATGAGATAAAATGAAAAAATTCCTAGAAAAATTTAACTCAAGAATAAAGCTTAGTTACATAATTATTAAAGAAATGAAGCAATTAGAAAAAAAACCCACTAGTTTCATAAAACTTTCAAGAAAAAAAAAAAAATCCCAGTGTAACACAAACTTTCAAACAGTAAAAAAAGATGGACTTGTCTCAACTCATTCTACAAAACAGGCACACAGATGGATCAAGTGGCCACTAAAAAAGCAGAACCTGGCTGGGTGCGGTGGCTCACGCCTGTAATCCCAGCAGTTTGGGAGGCCAAGGAGGGGCAGATTACGAGGTCAAGAGATCGAGTCCAACCTGGCCAACATGGTGAAACCCTGTCTCTACTAAAAATACAGAAATTAGCCTGGTGTGGTGGCACGCGCCTGTGGTCCCAGCTACTGGGGAGGCTGAAGCGGAATAATTGCTTGAACCCAGGAGATGGAGGTAACATGAGCTGAGATTGCGCCACTGCACTCCAGCCTGGTGATAGAGCAAAACTATGTCTCAAAAAAAAAAAAAAAATGCAGAGCCCAGGCTGAGACCTCCAGACATCTCACGGCTTGTCTTGCTCTCTTGAGCTTCAGCCATCCTCTTGAGAACACTGCCTAACTACCTGGATGAAGGCGGGAGGGGTGCGGAGTCAAGTGGAGTAGCCCCTACCATCCCAACTGAGACAAGCCAATCCCTAGACAAGTGAGGGAGCCGACCAAGATCCACAGAGCTGCTCTGCAGGAGGAATACACTTGCTGCTGTATATCACTGAGCTCTGGCGTTTGGCCATTGATGCAGCATTTCTGGGGCAACAGATAACTGATGATAGGTCTGTGATGTTCATTCAGTATTAAAAATAGCCAACTAAAAATAAGCCTTTGCATAGAACCAGTGATGAGCATTTATGATTAATCCAATTTGATGCACTGGCAGTCGAAAAAAAACCAAAACAATATTTTGACCTCTTAAGCACAATTTTCACTAATTTTTCCTTATCCTATGTGCATGAGTCTGGACTCCTGCACCAAACTGTTGCAGAAGAAAGGGAAGCGAGACTCAACAGTTTATCGAGCGCTTACTGAATGAATGGCTGCCAGATGCACGTCCTTTACTAGATGCTGAGAACCAGTATGAACAAAGGGACACTTCTGATCTCTAAAAGCTGGTAAGCAGGTAGGAGAGATAATTTATATTTGATGAGCAGGGCTTGAACATTCCATTTCTGACTCCTTCAGTAACTAACTTTCTCTGTGCCTTCTTAAAGGTTTTAACAACTTAGTTTACCTTTTTTTTTTTTTAAGATCAAATTTTAAACACTTTTAGTCAGTATTTTGTCTCAAATCACTGGCAGGAACTGTAACGTTCAAAGTAGAGAAAAATCATAGAGTAGAATGGTGGTTATCAGAGCCTGCAGGTTGGGAGGGGGGTGAGGAAGGAGGAAACGGGAAGTTGCGGATCAAAGGATACAAAGTTTCAGACACACAGGAGACATAGCTTTTGAGATTTACAGCACAAGAGGATGCTTAGTCAACAATAATTTATTATAAACCTGTATTTCAAAACAAGACAATACATTCCAAACATCTCACCACAAACAACAACTGAAAGAGGTGCTGGATATGTTAATTAGCTTGATTTAACCACACTGCATTGTATACACAGCTCAAAACATCACAGTGCACCCCATAAATGCACAGAACGATAATATGTCCTTTTTCTCAGGCATCCGGGTGGTCTACTTCTAAACAGGGAAGAACATGAGGTCCCAAAGCGTCCTTTAAAGCCTACTCAGCAATTCCAATTTTCCTTTTACATTTCTTGTTTGGGTTTTGTTAGTTGCTGTTGTTTTTGAGCAGGGTCTGGCTCTGTCCCCCAGGCTGGAATGCAGTGGCGCCACCAAAGCTCACTGCAGCCTTGACTTCCTGGGCTCCAGCGATCCTCCCACCTCAGCCTCCCGAGTAGCTGGGACAACAGGCTGGCACCCCCATGCCCAGCTGATTTTTTCATTTTTTTGTATAAACAGGGTTTCGTCAGGTTGATCTGGCTGGTCTTGAACCCCCGAGCTCAGGCGATACTACGGCCTCGGCCTCCCAACGTGCTGGGATTACAAGCCTACACCGTGCGCCCCGCCCCAACTTTTTTCTTTTTTTGAGACGGAGTTTCGCTCTTGTTACCCAGGCTGGAGTGCAATGGCGCGATCTCGGCTCATCAGAACCTCTGCCTCCTGGGTTCAGGCAATTCTCCTGCCTCAGCCTCCTGAGTAGCTGGGATTACAGGCACGCGCCACCATGCCCAGCTAATTTTTTGTATTTTTAGTAGAGACGGGGTTTCACCATGTTGACCAGGATGGCCTCGATCTGTTGACCTCGTGATCCACCAGCCTCAGCCTCCCAAAGTGCTGGGATTACAGGCTTGAGCCACCGCGCCCGGCCCCAACTTTTCTTTCTCATTGCTGGAGAGGAGGCTTCGCGTTCCCTGCTCAGGCCGAGTCCAGTGCCGCCGCCTCCCCTCAGCCTCCCCGCTCCATTTCTGAGTAACTAAGGGGCTCGGCCTCCCCCCCCCCCAACCAGCAGCCCCACCCAACGCCACCGCTACAGCCCCAGGGTCAGAGGTGCCGCTGCCGAGGTCCCGGTGACTCGCAGAAGGGAAGGCTGGGCCAGGCTCTGTGTGGGCGGCGGGCGGGCACCTCAGCAGCGCCTACCCGGGCGCCGGCCAGGCGGAGAGGAGGCCGCCGCACTTTCCCCCAGCCCCGGCCTGGGCCCCATTGGGCGCCCCCAAGCCCCGGGCCCTAGGTCAGGCGCGCCTCCCCGCCCTCGACCGCGTCACCTTCCAGGTGCCCAGGCCCACGGCTGGGATATCTCCCATGGCCGCCACCGCCCCCGCCCCCGCCCCGCGCGGGACTACCAACGGACACCGAGCGAGTTACCACAGCGTTGGCGACGAAGGGCGGCTGCGATTGGCTGAAAGTGCCTTGTGACGGCTGACACGCTGACAATGGCTGGAGGCACGAACGCCAGGCTTCCTCACTGGCTGCTGGCTTCGAGTGGCGGGCACTCTGATTGGCTGGTTTTTATCAAAGACAGGCATCCTGATTGGCTGAAGGCACAGAGCCAGCGGGAGCCCCACATGGCTGGAGGCACTCACTCTGGACATTCTGATTGGCTGCGGGGGCACGGACAACGGACTTTCCAATTGGCTTGCCGAGCCACGCAGGGGCGGGGAAGGTTTTCCAGTTGAGTGGCAGTGCCGCTCAGGTCCCTGTAGGCTGGACCGCCTGGGTGCCTTCTCCTTCACGCAGGGTGCACACGCAACTGAGGTAGGGCAGAAGTGTTTGTCTGGTGGGCAGGGGTTTCTAACCTTTCCTGGGGGTCTCCATGGCGGGGCCATCGTAGGGCAAGCTCTAGGGTCAGGGCGCAGAGTCCTGCCTTCCCTGGAGCAAAGGGCACGGGAGTGGACCCCGCTTTCTTGCACCAGGGATGGCCTTTCTCGGGTGCCCCGAGGTCCCCAGGCTGGGAGAAGCTTGCCTGGCTTTGGTTCCCCGTCAGGGACCTACTGTGCCCTTGGAAAAGGCCTTCCACACTTTGGGGTCCTTCCCGGCTGCGGGGGTCCTGGGCGGTGCGGGGAGGCAGAGCCCTGCAGGAGGAGGGCAGCGTCCTTGCTGCAGCCTCGGGCCCTCATTTGGAAGCGGATGGGGTGGACGGGACACCTACGCTCATGAGTGGACTGGTCTCTCCTGGGGACAGTGGAGGGAAAGAGGCGTCAAGGGAGCCTTCCGACACCCCTCTTATCTCCCCTGGAGCTTGCAGCTCCCCTTTGTTGCCCCCCTCAGCCCTGGGAATCCCACTGCCTTGAGGACACCCACACCCAGGCGAGGGCTTGTTTCTGGGTTCCCTGCCTGGGTCTGCAGTGCCAGCACTGGCCGTCAGGGGACGCAGTGTCCATTCTGCTCAGTGGGGCCGCTGTAGCCAGAGAGGCTCCCAGGGTCACTCTGCGTGTCCCCCTGCCTCTCACCCCACTTGCATCTCCTGTTAGTAGCATCCATCTCCACCATGTGAGCTGCTCACAGGTGGGAAGGGAGCTTTTCGATACTCTCATTTATTCGTTCAAAACCTGTGCTTGGAGGATTTACCTGCGCAGGGGGCGGGTTAGGCCACGGTGCAGTGCTGGAAATGACCTGCATGGGCCTTGCCCTCAGGAGCTCAGCGTCTGGAGGAATGGATGGACAGAGGATAAAAGCAAATGCAGGTGAAAGAAAAGAGCAGGTGCCCTCTAGTAAAGTAAAGCAGGTGCTCGCAGTGAGAGGCGGGAGGGACAGAGTGAGGGAGTCCCCCAACACCTCAGCGAAGCGGCATTTGTGCTGCAATCAGAAAGGTAAGACAGAGGGGACCAGCCTGCACAAGTCTGGGAACAGTGTACCTGGGGGATGCTCAACTGCACTGCAATCGTGTATGATTCTATTTCCTTGTTTTAATAGAAATTCCAAAGTCTATGACATTGAGCATCTTTTACTCTGCTTGTTTGCCATCTGTGTATCTTTGATGAGGTGTGTTTTCAGGTCTTTTGCCCATTTTTTATTTGGGTTGTTCATTTTCTTATTGTTGTGTTTTAAGAGTTATTTGTGTATGTTGGATAAGAGTCCTTTATTAGATGTGTCTTTGTAAATATTTTCTCCCAATCTGTATTGCTTGTCTTCTCATTCCCTTGACATTGTCTTTAGCAGAAGAAAAGTTTTTCATTTTAATGAAGTCAGCTTATCAATTATTTCTTTCATTGCTCATAGCTTTTATGTTGCAATTTAAAAGTCATCTCGAAGGCATAAGAATGATATAATGGACTTTGGGGGCTCAAGGGGAAGGGTGGGAGAGGAGTGAGAGATAAAAGACTACACATTGGATACAGTGTACTCTACTCAGGTGATGGGTGCACCAAAATCTCAGAAATCACCACTAAGAACTTTTCCATGCAACCAAACACCACTTGTTGCTCTGAACTATTGAAATAAAAATACAAATTACAAAATTAGAGACTAGACAGAAAAAAAAAGTAAAATTCTAAAATAAGAATATCCTGGAACACGGTAATCAGTATAAAAAAATTTAAAAAAATCACTAAACCCCAGATAATCTAGATTTTCTCTTATTTTCTAGACATTTTATAGTGTTGTGTTTTATATTGAGGCCTGTGATCCACTTTGAGTTAATTTTAATGAAGAGTGTGAGATTTGTGTCTGGATTTAGTTTTTTGCCTGTGGATGTCCAACATCGTTTGTTAAAAAGACTGCATGTTCTCCAGTGTATTGCCTTTGCTCCTTTGCCAAACATCAGCTGACTATATTTGTGGTGGTCTATTTCTGTGCTCTTTTGCTCCACTGACCCATTTGCCTGTTTCATCAATACTACACTGTCTTGATGACTGTAGCTTTCTTGTAAGTCTTGAGGTCAGGTAGTGTGAGTCCCCTACCTTTGTTTTTTCATTATTGAGTTGTCTAGTCTGGGTTTTTTTGCCTCTACATATAAACCATAGATTCAGGTTGCCCACAAAATAATTTAGTAAAATTTTGACGGGTTTACATTGAATGTTTCAATTAATTTGGGGAGAACTGATGTATTGACTGTATTGATTGATTGTATTCATGAACATGGACTATCCATTTATTTATTTTTTTACATCTTTCATCAGAGTTTTGTCATTTTTCTATCCAGGACTCATACGTATTTTGTTAGTTTCATACATAAGTATTTCACTGTGGGGTGTGCTAATGTAAATGGTACTGTGCTTCTAATTTCAAGTGCCGCTTGTTGAATTCTGGTATATAGGAAAGGAGTTGATTTTTGTATAGTAATCTTGTCTTTTGTAACCTTGCTATAATAGCTTGTTAGTTTCAGAAACTTTTCATCAATTCTTTGGAAATTAAGACAGCCGATAATGTCACTGGTGAACAAAGACAGTTTAATATTTTTTCCTTCCCAATCTGTATACCCTTTAGTTCCTTTTTTGTCTTACTGTTTTGGTTAGGATGTCCAGTATAGTGTTGAGAAGGAATGTGGAGAGGGGACATTTTTTTGCCTTTTTCCTGACAGGAGTGCTTTTGAACAGTATAGTCTCCCTGTATGTGCACTGTTAAATCAGAAGGTTATGGTGGGTGTTTGGGACCTTCAGTCTGGACGATTTCTAATGGCCTCATGGACAGATGCATTTGTATGTTACGGTGTAACTTCACACTCAAATTACTTTTGTCGTTGTTATGGCATTCTGCTATAGTTGCTAAGATGCTGAGGCTTAAGAAATTCTTCTTCATGAACACTTACTACTCCCTTCTCAGCCACTGTCTTTTTACCCTTGTCGCTGTTTTCAGTGGACACTGGGATTTGCTGATTGTAGCTGTCATCTTGGTGATCTGTTTCTTGTGTGATACACTAGATCCATTAGTGTCTCCTGCACATCCCATGGCTGAGGGTGTGAAGAGTAATACATAAAAGAGCCTCCCATGGAAATAGCTAAAGGGTTAGTGTGTTTGGGAGAGGAAACTAGGAAAGTTCACAAGTAATTATAAACTAGAATAAAAAAGTAGCATGGGATAAATATAAATGATATTTAGTGGGACTCTCAAAGGAAGAAATTGTATCAAGTCGTGAGGAATATATGATTATTGAAATTAGCCTTCAAGATTAGAAGGACTAATGAACAGAAATGGGGAGAAATAATTCTTTGGTGGTTGAGTAGTTTTATTTGAGACAGAGTCTTGCTCTTGCTACCCAGGCTGGAGTGCAATGGCGTGATCTTGGCTCACAGCAACCTCCGCCTCCCGGGTTCAGGCAATTCTCCTGCCTCAGTCTCCTGAGTAGCTAGGATTACAGGCATGCGCCACCATGCCCAGCTAATTTTTTGTATTTTTAGTAGAGACGGGGTTTCACCATGTTGACCAGGATGGTCTCGATCTCTTGACCTCATGATCCACCTGCCTCGGCCTCCCAAAGTGCTGGGATTACAGGCGTGAGCCACTACGCCCGGATGACTACACTTTTTAAAAGTGCATTTTGGTAGTTACATGGATGGCCTGTTATCAAGGATGAGGGAAGTTACCACTGAGAGTGAGTGAGTAGTTTTGGTTTAGATAATAGGCATCTCTTTATCCATTTGCTTTCTTGGATATCATACACTCAATGATAATGTATAGGGAATAGTCTTTCTGGGGTATCCTTTGCACAGTGGCTCATTCTAAGTCAGTGCATGCATTGAGCGAATAACACACATGTTCTGCAGCCTGTGTGCATGTCTCTTGATGTTTGACACAGCTTCACACAACCTTCATCACCACCTCAGCAAACTCAGGGCTAAACCCTTACCAGACAACAGAGCAACAAGTCTGATTTCTTTGCACACATATGATGTTCAGGGATGAAGACAGGGAGAAGAAGTGCAGAAACAGCAGCAGATCTTTCGTTTCTTTGCAGCTGGGCAGATAAGCACACTCGGGAGAAAAAGTAGGGTCCGCTGCAGTTGAGAGAGTAGAAACCAGACGACAAATGCCAGCCGCCCAGGAAGGATCACAGAAACAGCGAACAAAAGCTAAGCCCTGTTATGCTGGTGGCAGATCTGCTAAGCCTGTTCTGATTGACTCAGATTTTCGCACATCTCACACCAAAGCACTCAGCCTTTCAGCTCTCGCTTCGAGTCACTTGTTTTAATAACGACATTAACCAGGGAACAGCACTAAGCGGTTCTGTTTGGGTTGAAGCCAACAGAAGCCTAAGGACGAAATGTGTCACTTCATGCGGGATCTTTACAAACACTGCTCCTGGCACTAGAGGTTTACTTGCCTTTTCCTCCCCACAGCAAAGGGACCTATCTGTCTTCTGCCAAGGTTTCAATGGAGACGACCAATCGGAGTCATCTTAGCCAAAATAAATCTCATTTTGCCCCCCAAGAGCAGATTTGCTTGTGTGGATGATGCAGCTGTTGTCTTGCCAAGTCAGCAACTTCAGAAGTCAATAGACTACTTAGAGACCAGGGATTATACATGTGCAAAAAGGAGAAAGATTCCACGAAGAGGATGGGAGACTTACGACCTTTGAGAAATAGCACTTGGCTGAGCCAGTGATGACAAGACCAAGTAGGGAACAAGAAATTCCATCTGTTTGCTCACTCGTCAGGGCTCCAAGTATAGTGTTTTGTCTGATAAGAAGCTAAAAAGGCCCAATTCAGCCCAAAGGAAATACCATGGCCACTCAGACGGCAGCACTAGCTTACAGAACCCGGACAAAATTCGGCTGCTGTAATGGAAGGAGGCTTAAGAAGGAATTCACTGAAGTCTAT